GCTGAAAACTGGTTAACTACAGTGCATTTTTCTCACATAGCATGCACTGTCAAATTGAATCACCTCTACTTGGTGATCATAGAATCAATTAGGTTGGAAAAGACCTTCAAGATCATCAAGCTGAACTTTCATGTCTTCTGGAATAGTTTCATGAAAATGCCATCATGTAAATGCATCACAGTGGTCTATTGGGATTCTTTTAATGTCTTCTGATATTAAATTCTCACCCTTTTTATGAGATGATTACATGCTAACCTGTGTTGATTGGAATGAATAAAATTACTTACAAAGGACAGTAAGGCAGTAAGACAGAAGTGCTCTGATGAGGATTTCCGCTCCTTTCAGAGTGTTCTGTAGTTCTCGATCATCAGATTGAGATAGTGTTTGACAAAGCACCAAGAATATTGGCTTTCAGCAGCTAGTAATTCCAGATTCACAGGGAGTTTTTCCTCCAAGGTATAAGTGTATAAGACTGTAACTGTCTAAAAATGTTAATTTGACACTCGGAATCCTTTGAAAAAATGTATGTGGAGTCTTGAAACCTTTGATGGCATATAGGCCACTATTACTGTCCTGGCTGTCTCCATGTGGTTTGTAGGAAAACGCGATTTTGAGTGAGAGTCTGAGAGGTTGAGCAGGGAGTGCAGGATGGCCATCTGGCTCCCCATGAGGGCTCAACAAGGAGTTAAATAAAAAAATAAGGAAAAAATTAAAATGGTAGTAGTCCTAGAAACAGTCAGAGTTCCTGTTACCTTCACTGTCATGATGTCTTTGGGACAAGACCCTGTGTTGACCTTAGTCCTTTAGTCTTTTTCACTGGGACGTTTTTGTTTTTCTGCAAGCCTGAATTCTTTTAGTAATTCTTAGACTCAAGAGAGTAAAACACTGTAACCAGAACCAACAGGGGATGTCTGTAAGAGAGTTGGTTTTGGTGTCATGTCATCCCTCCCCTCCCTTCCTTGCAGACTTCTTTTTTTCACTTTCTGGTTGTCTTGCTTAATTAACTTCTTTAAATAGAGAGCCTCTGTTCCCTGTTCCGAAAACACCAGTCTGAGAAAATTAAAACATTTTATTTTAAATTGAAAACAAAAAGAGAATTCCCTCTTTGAAAACAGACGTGCTTCATCTTTCTGTGGTTCAGATGGTTTATTCTGTTTTCTGTGAATTTGAAACTTTATGTGGTGACTGGACTGGTGACTGGAAGCTGTGGTCCATTCTGAAGTCCAAAAAGCTTAAAAGTCAATGTACGCCACAAAATCCCCCCAGAAAATCAGGACAGTACTTGCAGAGCTTTCGGAGCTCTGGCTTTTGCTGTTAACTTAGTGAGAATTTTCACCTTAAAAGGGCAAACTGAAAGGTAAAGATTGTTTGGTGCATGGTTTTGGTTTTGGTTTTTTTAAATGAGAAATATCTTTCACAAGTGTAACTGGTTATTCTTCTCCATGTCATCCAGCAATACACTGCTTACTATGGCCAGTAAAAGCAGTTACACTAGCATAGTTTTGAACATTCCTTTTTTCTTTTAATTTAGAATTGCAGCTTTTCTTTCAAATCATGAAATTCTACCTTGTGCATCACTTAATGTTTTGGGGGGGAAGGGGGAAGGAAATGCAATTTAGCAAAACTAATCTGCTTCTGGCTTTCTAGTTCAACCAACAGAATCTAGTGTTGTCTGTTTCAGACACATAGAACTATCATAGAATCAGCTAGGTTAGAAAAGACCTTTAAGATCAAGTCCAACCATTACCCCAGGACTGCCAAGACCACCACTAAAGTATGTTACTGAGGGCCTCGGCTACACTGTTTTTGAACACTTGAACATGGTTTTTGAGCACAAGTTTTACTGTATACTTGGCTTCGTGTCACATCATGTTTCTTTTGGATGCTTTTGCCTTCATATTTGCTCTTCTCTTTAGCTGGCTTTGGCTTCAGCAGAGGCTCTCCAGTGATTTGCCTCCTGAAGTTTTTCAGTTTTCTGGAGGCTGCGTGTCCTAGTGTATCAGTAATGCCAAAGCATGTGCATCCACTCCACATTAATCACAAGCGAACTGATCAATTTGAATGGAAGCTTAATATGCTTTGCTAATTATCTTAGTTCTCACATGAGTAACAAAGCCTTTTTTTTTCTCATTTTCAGACAAAGTGGACTCTGAATTGCTACAGGGTTACAGCAGGTACCTGCCTCATGATACTGTCATCATGACTGTCAAGGTAGCCATCCTCTTTGCTGTGCTTTTGACAGTCCCTCTAATCCATTTCCCAGTAAGTAGTCCTCAACGTTCTGAAGCTGGCAATAAGCAATGGTAATGCTAATGCTTTACAGACTGCAATATTTGAGTCGCATCTAGTCTTGTGTATCTTATTCACTGGTCAAGTGATTGATCAAAGACCATGTATTTGCATATGTTCCATGAAAGCTCAAAAATAACAACTAACCACTAAGCTAATTTGTGCTCTTGAGACAGATTTCAGATTCAAACTAGGCCACGGCATTGTTTTTAATTTAGAGAATCCAGAACTTCTAAAATTTATTTAGTTTGTTTTTTTTTTTTTAATTTTTTTTTTTTCCTTACCCCTTCCTAAATTGAGTTTTGCTGACTTGGTTTTTCCTTTCTACATACACGCACCCACACACAAACACACTTACATTTGAAAACTCAGTTGTAAATTAAAAACACATAGTGACCTGTTTCACAGAAAGACCCCTACTTTAGATCATCAGTATCATGGTTGAACTGAAAATTCATTGTTAGTACCAAAAAAATGTGTGCAGGCAAAACTATGTATATGGAAGTATGGATTACGTATCAGCTGACAACATACTGCTGTTTGCTACCAACCATGCTCAAGAAGGTGAAGCATTATCCCCCAGACTTCCCTTTGGCCCTGCAAAAAAGGAGTAATTCCTTAAGACTAATGGCCATGTGATAAATACTGCTTTAGTACTAAAGTAAACTCTATGCTACAAAAAGGCAAAACATGTAACTGTTACTAAATTTTTTGTTTTGTTTTTAAAATGTTCTTTCTCCTCTTGAATGATGTCATTCCTAAGCTTATGAAATTGAGATAAGATTAGAAGTGTGTGTATGTATTTACCCATGCAATGTTTCTCTTCATATCATGTAGGCAAGAAAAGCTGTGTTGATGGTATTTTTCTCTCATCTTCCTGTGTCGTGGATTTGCCATATCCTTGTCACTTTAACACTGAATACAATTGTTGTGTTGTTTGCAATGTACGTGCCAGACATTAAAAATGTATTTGGAGTAGTTGGTAAGTTGTTGTGGTGGTTGTTTTTTTTTGTTCCGCTTTTCTTCAAAAAATTAATTATGATGATAAGTTAATGTACTTCAGTCTTGCTCTAAGTGAAATCTTACTTTCTGTTCTTTAAAGGTTCAACCACATCAACGTGTTTGCTTTTTGTTTATCCTGGACTATTTTATCTTAAACTTAGCAGAGAGGACCTTTTATCACGACAGAAACTCGGGGTATACTTTTTTTCATGTGTGCTAATTATATTTAAATGGGCTCATTTTAGATGCATCTCAATATGCTGTAGAGCATGTAATCCAGGGGGGCAAAGTTCTTGCTCAGAGATTTTGTGAACTGCAATGAGAATGTTTTGCTCTATTCCTCATGATAGCTCTATTCTTTCTGAAACTCCTTCTCCACAAGAGAATTTTGACTAGCAGTTTGTCCATGTGCTGGGCTGTTGATCTGAATACATGCTTTTCCCTATAGTTTTCAGCTGTTGACTTTTAATCCAATTTCTCTTCAGTTTTTACGCATTACTCTCACGTTGACTGGGCAGCTGGGCCAAAGCCAAGCTGCATTTAAGTGAAATGGTGTTTATGCTTGTCTTTTATGTAAGCCTTCTCAAAAACATCTTCTCCACCCATCCCTTTCCTTTTCCCCTGCCCCCATCCCGTTCTTTTTTCTTCTCTTTATGGTTTCTCTGTTGGTGTAGTAGGTTAAATTCCAGCTGGAATTTGTGCAGCAGCTTGCTTTTTGCACTGTAACGGTCTACATTTTAACCACTGCTCAGCAAGGCAACTTCATGACAGTGGCTAAAATGGTGACGAACCGTTTATACATAGTCCTTCTGCCATTCTTAAAATTCATAGGGCTGCTCTTGTATTGACAAAATAAGGACTCTGAAAAAGTGTTTAAGAATGATGCTCTCAGGCCATTTAAAGTCTTGACTAGTTCCAACAGATTTGGGGCCTTACAAATTGGCAAGCAACCATCTCTTGAGCTGTAGTTTTATTATCATTTGGCTGCTCAAAAATGTAAAGAGTCCATTGTAACTAATTAAATTTTGAGTCAAATACAAATTCAGTTTCTTAATTCATTGAGTTGTAAAGGGCAATTTTTTAATTTATTTTTTTCCCAGCTGACAGACAGTGTGAGCAGGCAAACCAACTGCCCTAGAGTTCCCAATGAGACTATCCTAGAGCAGGCTAAGTTTAGTTTTTCCCTTAACAGAAACCTTGTGTTTGAAGACTGAGTAATTTGAAACATTAAAGATTTTTATAAAAGACACTGTTTAAACCTGTTCTTAAAGGATTTTTTCATCATTAGTTATGAGTTTTAGAAATAATGTAAATTCAGTAAAAAATTAATTTTTGTTTTTGTTTCTTGACAGGCATGTGCATTGGTTGTTTTTGGCATTTGTGTTGGCCTTCTCAGTTTAGTTCTAATAATTTTCAATTTGATTGACCAATAACAGCCTATTGTTGGTGTCTGAACTGAGCTGCAGAAGGATAAGAACCAGAGACATGTCAAAACTACCAAGATGAATGCTGCATATCCTCAGGGAAATACTGACCAAAGCTATCTGTGGAAGAAATAATGCTCTTTCTCACTGCATTAGTGATGTTCCTTTAATCTTGAGTCATTCTCTTCAGTTACTGGACAATTAGTCTTTGCCATTCTAAAATAATAGGTTTTAATTATGTAATCATGATGGGTAAAAAGATCTCTGAATTTCTGCAATGCAAAAATGGTTTAGTGCACGTGGTGAACAAAAGCAGAGCTTTGAAATAACTTCTCTTTCAAAGACAATGAGTTGGATCAATCATGATGTGCATATCTTGATGTGTGCATTTAGGATAATACACACATTGTTCTAAACAGTGAAAAGAGTTCAATTGCTTGAATAATTTCCAAAATTTCAGCCAGTTCATATTAAGAACTTCCTGATTCCAGATGTTTACCCTAATTTATGCTAACATGGATCCAGAAACCAACTGCCTTAGCCCAGTTTAATGGGCACATCGTGGTAATATTTGTTAATTGTTTTTTGAAATACAGTTTTCATACTTCCATGTACTTGAATCATACCGAAGTAGTTTTTAAATTAGAAGGCTTTGCCCATCTAGCATAATGGCTTTTAGTAGCATTAGGAAGTATTTCCATTTTGCTGTTAATAATAGACATTTTTCAACTAATACCTATTTTGGGATATTATGCAGTGCACCTCAGTATTTCTCCCAGTAAAAGATGTCTTTTGTGTTTCTTATTCCTATTTTTACAAGTGTTTCATATTTGAAATAGTGATTCTGTGTTTTATGTACTGTTGTGTGTTAGAAGGTTTGGGTTTAAAATGTGAAATTCTGCCTCTGTTGAAGACAAAGGAAGTTTACATTTATGGAACCCTAATTTTATCTTGGATCTCTATAAACTTCCATGTACATTATTTTCCTAGCCTAAATGAAATGTGAATGCAATTTTCAACACCTAGCCGGGTTCTGTTGAACGTGGTATTGAGGACCCACTGCAGAAGTTCCTCGTATTAGCAGAAAAGTAGTAAAGCAGTAGCTGATAGCGTGGTAAGGTTTTTAAAATTTGTTTCTATCAGATAGGATCTGAGGTCTTTAAAATAGCTCAATCTCTTCAGAGACTTTATGCCCTGCGGAAGGAGCTAAGCCTCCACAGAAAGGGCTTTTAGTTAAGAAATCAGCCTCATATGGTAAGATTAAGAGAGTGGGAAAGATCTTCAGTATTTCCAGATGAAATCATTCTTTCAAGTTACCTTAGGACTTTCACATCTGAGAAGTGGAATAAGACACAAGTGAATCGTAGTGAAGTAATACATTTATGCAACATGAAAGCAGCTAGTAAGTGACATTTTAAATAAGTTTTTCTGTCCATAAAGTGCAGAGTTAGCAAATTAGTTGACTATTGCTAGAAAATTCTGCTGAGGCAGTTCTGTTACTGTGTTGACTTACAAGCTGAGGTAGGGGAGATGCCCCAGACCTTGGCATTCTAGCTTCTTACCAGTGGCTCTGTGCTGTCAACCTTTTTAATCAGTTAACATTGGATTTGGAAAACACTGACTGATGTGCCAACTTTAACCCAACTGCAATTGAACGTGCTTGATCCTCACATGACTAATAGGGAGGAACAGCAATAGCAGAGTTGGAATTGCCTCCTCTGTTCCTGAGCTGACAAACTAGGATTTCTCATGTCAACAGATCACTCTGTTCTCTCAGGATCTATAAGATACTTCTTGGTTTTGATAGATGGCCTTAAGGCACCCAGGTGGTGCAGCAAAAAGGAATTCTTTTTGCTTGGGGATTATCCTACTTAGGAGTTTAATATAGAAATAGGCCTGCGTGGTGAGGCTGGGGAACTAACAGACATTTTGGTAGGATCCCAAATATAATGGTCCCTGGAAAAGACGGCAGTTACTTTTAGCTAGCAGAGGTTCCATGACACAATATGAGCCATCTGATCGTTTGTCAGTACCAGAAACAGCATGTCCAGTCTTAGCCAGAAGTTCACAACTACTTCTGTGGCACTGGCGGTGGGTTTTGACAAGTGTGTTTTACTAAGAGAAAACCAACATGACCACAAGATGTTACATGTTACCTGCCAAAAAAGTAAACTGAGTGAACTCACTCAGGGGACAAGAAAAGTGAGAGGAGGGCCTAGGATTGGGGCTGCCTTTTTCAGCAGCAGCAGCAGCCGTTAGGTAGCACAAAACATCATGCTTTGTCCAGCAGTTTTGCTTCAGCAGGTTGAAGTGTGTGTGTGCACATAAGGGATGCCTCTAACTGGAGGTCTCTGGCCTCCTTTGATCAAGGGATCAAGCAGACTTTCTCATCGTTGTGTGAATATTAATGGTTGAGACTCCCTCCCTATCTTGCCTTTACTCTTGCAGCTCTCCCAGGTTAACTCTTGATAACCAGATGTAGCTGCCTTCCTGCCTGTGGCTGCCCTCTAATAGCTGTGTTTCACAGGTTTCGTTACACTGTAGGGATTTGGTCATTCGGTATCTCTTGGCAAAAAGCTAAATACGTACCTTATAAAAATGTACCTTGAGAAAGTAATGACAGCTGTACATCAGGAAGTGATTTTCTGTCTGACTGAACCAAAACTTTTAGGAAACCTGGAGGCCTTACATTCATGTGAATGAACTGCAGGGTGTTTTGGGTTTTGGTTTGTTTTCTTTCCAGACACTAGAATTTAGGAGGAATATTTACTAGAAAATTTCTGGAAGTTGTTTCTCATTTAGCATATGCTCTTGTAGCATAGTGTTAAGTAATACTTGTAGGACATCACTGCAGTCGCTTTACTTTGAACTCCAACCAGCAAGACTTAGATTTTCTGTGAAGGTACAGAAGTTTGGCAAAGCTTTGCTGAGGTTTTTTTCTCTTTCCTCCCAGAAGAAGGTGAGTCTTGCCATGCACTGTGGTGCCGTGTGCATACACAAGCAGTTGGGTTTGTGTGCATTGTCTTAAAAAAATGTGACTAATAAATACCTGAAATAGTGTTAATTTTACAGTCAATTCCTGTAATGCTACAGAAATCACTGCATCATTGTTTTTAATCCCTGTATTATCATAACTAACCTGGCTATTACCTAATTGTTGTAGTAGGTAGACTTTGGAATGATGAATACCAGTGTGTGAAGTTAATACTTGGTGAGAATGAATGGAAGCAATTCACACCTCTGCTGGAGCTCCATTATTACATTTTGGCTGCGAAGCAGAAAGGGTAGTAGCACAGGGGGTTACAGAACGTCATTATTGTTCAACTGAAAAAGAGTTACAAATATGGCTACTTTTAAGTTTCTAACTTAAAATATGGAGAGAGGGAAAGGGGCAGAAAGAAAAAGAACAATAATTTCCAAAGTAAGAAGGCTGCATGAGTGCTTTCCATAATGAAAAAGCAGAGGAAGGACTTCGGGTTTATCCTTCACGTCTCCCACAGTGTTCTGTTCCCTGTGTCTGTGTAAGGGTTTCACTACATTTGTGCACTTGTGTGCATTTTTTTGAGCAAAAATGTGCTCACTCAAATGCCGATAAATAGATCTTTATTTATTCTTGTGTACAGGGTTTGGGTTGGTTTTTTTAATTCTGAATTTCCAGATTTATAAATTTCAGTGGTTCTGCTTTATTACCTGTAGTTAGCATTTTCTAACCTTCTTTGCTGAAGACGTGACAGGAATGAATGAAGGGGGCCGCCGTTTTTCTGGACTCACTGGGAAAGGTTGCCTTTCCCCAGCTGACCAAGAACAACAATGATGGGAAATGAATTGGTCGTCTTTGGTTTGTTTTCTCTCTTTCTCCTGTTTCATTCCTGGTCTGTTGAAGCTGCTCAATTTTCAGATGGACTGTGGTAAGCTGGGTGTGGAGAGTGTCTTGTGTAAACAGCATTGTAGTAACCAGTACTGCAGAACAAAAACACTCTACACCCCTTTGTTTTGTGGCAGATGCTCATGTTTTATTCCCATGTTTCAAAACAGTTTGTATCTTAATATATTGATTTTCATGGCAGTAAGTTTGTTTAAAATTCTTTCTTGTGTCCCTGTATAGTGAAAATTGAGACACTATGAAACTGTCCCATCCTCTCTCTGTCCATCCTTTCACCTTGCCCTTCAGTTTCTGTTAACACCAGTTAATGATACGAGGCAGGAATATGCCATTCCTGTACCATTGCTTGGTTTAGACCTCCTTTCCTGATAAAATCTGATTTAACACTTTACCTGAAATAGTTGGTTTACAGTCGACTTCCACATTGAAAGTGTTAGTTGCAGTTAGTCTGCACACAGAGAAGCCTCTGGAAATGTTTACTGCTACTTCCTGATGACTGCTGGTGGGAGAGAGTTTTAGTATTACAGAAGTGCTGCCTTTTCGTGGTGGTGGTTTTTGGTATTTGTGTTTCAGTAGTGATCATCCAACCACACTTCATGTGGAACTGGAATTCTTGAATTAATAACTCTGTGTATGTAGAAATTGCTTGGCTCATGTCAAACCTGTATGTTGTACAACAGATGCCCTCTTTTGAGTCTGTCCTTCCTCAGATTCCCTGTGGAACAGCCAGGGCATGTTCCAAAGATCCTAGAAAATAAAGAACAGTATTTGTGTAACTCATGGGATTGTCATCTTTGCTTTGTGTGTAATGTGCCTGCTCAGTGAAAGAACTGGGGCTGCTGCCTCTGCAGCTGGCTCTGGCTGTGCAATGGTAGTGCTGCTAGCCCCAGCTCAGGCTGTAGCATGGCTTTTGACAGGGCAAGGTGTCATTCCTAAAAATCATGCCTGGTTTGGTGGCGGTAGAATAGTTGTATTCTTACATGTGCTTTCCTTCATCAGTGTGGTGGTTTGTGATCCCTGCTCTGTTCTTGCAGAACCCAGCTTGAAATGGATGTGAGACATGGTCTGGGGAGCTGTTAAAAATTACTTCTCCCAGACCTGTTTACTTCTCAGTGCTTAATTTTAC